GACTTGCACAACTTACATGTATACCAAATGATAGATAGGGAACATGTCATTCCTATCCTATTGTGTAAGTTGGAACAAATTTTTCCTCCAAGCATTTTTGATTCAATAGAACATTTTCCCATTCACTTGCCTTATGAAGTGCAAGTTGGTGGTCTAGTTCAATATCGTTGGCTGTATCCATTTAAGAGGTATATATTTTCAAATAAGAACCCTTGAAAGAAAAGGTAAAAAAAAATAAGACTAAGGTAGAAGATTCTATTGGTCAAGCCTATTTATTAGAGGAGAAAACATCTACCTTTGCTTCATTTTACTATGCATTCGTAATAGACACGAGAAAGACTAGAATACCACATAATATTGATGAAGGTGAAGGTTCATCATCTAGTACTCCAATTTCTATTTTTAACTATTTGGGACATGTAAGTGGAAAATCCCACCAATATTACTTAGAACAACATGACATGATAGCTTATCACTTGTACATTCCTCAAAATTGTGAAGAAGTGGGGTCATATCTAGAGTAAATTGACATAAATGACATTTTGTTCATAAGTAGCTATTACAACTTATATTTTCTTCATATTTAATTTGGTTGGTTTATTTTTGTAGCATATTTGCCAACTCCCTCAAAGAGTTTCACTCTAATATATTGAATTCTCAAATTGATAAGGAAGTAGCTTCCCATTTTCCAAATTGATTTAAAGAATATGTTATATAATGAGATAATGTTAGAATCAAGGCTTGATGCTTAATTAAAGTCTAAACCACTAATGTATTTAGACTATGTTGGTTTATAATTAGAAAAATATATCAAATGTGATGTTGTTTGAATTGATTCTAAATTAACTTTAGACTTTAGATGTATCATCTTATAATTTTTTATATTTATAAAAATAATATTATTTCATCAAAATATAACATTAAATTACATTTTCATAAATTTCAATCTTATGCATTACATATGTTCATTATCTAATCAAAAATAAAATATTAAGAGTGTTTGATTTTGAGAATAAAAGTTTCACTCTATAAATTTTGCATATGATTTTACTAACAATTTTATAATTTTTCACAAAATTATTTGGGTTTGAAATTTCATAACATATTATTTCAGCACTATAAAAATATTATTTTACTTCTTTACATCAATTGTAAAATAATATCAGTACAACATAATGCATTGATATTTTAGAAATTTAAAATAGTTTTATATTGACAATTAAAGATTTAGGGGGGTGTATTGGTTTAGGATTTTGTAGGATTTTAAAAGACTTTTTTTTAGTAAAAAAGTTCATTGGTATTCAATCAAGATTTTATATCACTTAAAAACAATCCAGTGGTATTCAATCTGGATTTTCAAGATTTTTTAAAGAGTCCATTAAAATCCATTGGTATTCATTTGAGATTTTTTACAACTTAAAAACAATTCATTGGTATTCAAAAATATAAGGATTTTAAAGGATTGTTGTGTGAGAGGGATTTTGAAGGGTTTTCTAGCTAGTGTTATCTATAAATACTAAATTCATAAAACAATCTCATCCAAACCCATAGGATTTTGAAGGATTGTTTGAAGTGACTTTTCAATAATTTTCAAGTGAGTTTTTCATCTTTTTTTTCTATGCTCCTGTCTTCTCCATTTGTTCTCTGCTAATAATACTGCACTATTATTCATTGTTCATATATAATATTGTAGTACTGTTTTCATCCCATTCCCCTATTTTGTGAAACTCCGATATGTAAATAATAGTGTTATTGACTTGCTCTATTTTTCTGTTCGTTCTCTTTAATTGACTTGCTTTATTTTATTCTATGTAGTTGAATTTGTTCTTTTATATAACACAAAAAAATGCTTGAAATTTTAACTTTTAAGTAGTAATTTTTTTATAACACACGTCAATAAAAGAAAAAGGTGAAAGATGAAAATGGATCTTAGTTGGAGGAAGAACCCTCTCCGCATAAAAACTACAATCTCTCTCCTTTCCTTAAGTTTGTTACTCTTATCCCTCCTCCTTTTATGACTCAACAATTATTTTATTTTTTTTATTATGAATTTTTCTTTTTATTTTTATATTGTGAAATTAGGAATTTTTTATATTTTAAAAAAATAAAATTAACATAAGACATTGCAGTATCTAATTTTTTTAGGGTTTAGGATTTATGCCTTCATTAGCTTATTTTTTAAAAGAGGAAATATTGTTAAAATATTTATTAGAATAATTTACATTTATAAATATCGTTAAAAATTATCATTTAATATATAACTAAAATAATATATATATATATATATATATATTCTAAATCTAAATGCTTATTCTTTAAATAATAATAATAATTATAATTATTATTATTATTATACTAATATTATATATATTGCATATATAATTAGGTAAATATTTTTTGGTGGATTGTGGATTTCCTAATCGACGCTAATTTTTAGCTCTATTTCGAGGTGTAAGATATCATCTACAAGATTTTGCAGGTCAGGGTAATGACCATGAAAATGAGAAAGAATTGTTTAATCTTCGTCATGCATCTTTAAGGAATGTGATCGAGAGAATATTTGGTATTTTTAAATCAAGGTTCACAATTTTTAAGTTAACACCTCCATTTTTATTTAAGACACAAGTAGAACTTGTATTAGTATGTGTAACACTACATAACTTTCTACGTAAAGAATGTCGTTCTGATAAATTTCCAATTGAAGCGGTGGATGAACCTTCATCTTCAACGTTACCAATTAATGAAGATCATACTTTTGAACCTATTATTCAAACCGAGGAGCAAGAGCGAAAAGATGTTAATACTTGGAGGACTAGTATAGCTATGAATATGTAGGTGAATGCTATTTAAGAAGATAAGATATTATGGAGAATTATTATTATTATTTATCTAGACATTATTATTTTTTATTATTTTAGTTTTTGACTCTTTTTAAATTTGAATGTATGAATTTTTTTTTGAAATCTTATGAAATGTCAAAAATCCATGAAAATTCTACAAAATCCACAAAATCTCATAGAATCAATTAAAATCTTGATTTAAAAGTCTTGTAGAATCCATTAAAATCCTGATTTTAAGTCTTGTAGAATCCTGCAAAATCTTAAAAGTCATGAAAATCCTACAAAGTCTTTTAAAATCTGCAGGAGTTTTTTTAACTAAAAAAGTCCTTTAAAATCATAATCCAATACACCTCCTTATAGTCTTTTATTTATTAAAACATCTTTATCTTTTACATTATTTCTGGTTACATTGAATGCTTTTTAAAAACCCATGATTTTCTTTTTCAAAGTCTATAAAAATCATTTAATTTTTTTAAAATTATTTTTCTATAAATCAATTAAGTTTAAATCCAATATCCTTCGCAATTCAATACACCTAAGAAAAATGATTAAATTATACTTGTGGTTCCTCTATTTTTTTATCAATTTGCAAATTTGATCCCTTTATTTTAAAATAGAGATATTTAATCCTCTAATTTTAAAAATATGAAATTTTGGTCTTCCTATCAAATTAACATGTATGAATATTTCAAAAACTTTTATGAGTAACTAAACATATTTTAATTATTATCAAGAATCATGATTTTTAGGATTTATAATTTGAATCATGATTTCTAGGTATGAAAAAACCTCTCTCATACCAAATGCCCCTCATGAGTTTATGGTTTAGCATTTAAGTAATATAATATTTGGTAATATGACATGTAAAAATAAAAAAATTTAAAAAAAAATACAAATAAAAAATTTATTAATAAAATAAATATCAATTACTCATTAAAAATAGATATATACGAAAAATATTTTGTGTTATTTTTAATTTTCATATCCACATTTTGTATCACTTGATATTACATTAGTTAACAGGTGATCATCAACAAACATTAAATTAACCAAAAGAATCAAAATTTCATATTTTTAAAGATAAATGACTAAATATCTATATTTTAAAATAAAAAATCAAAATTGCACATCTATATCTATATTAATTTAATAATCTATAACTATTATAAAGGGGATACAGGAGATGTAACCGTTTTTTGGTTTCTATTTTTCAATGGACCATTATACCCCTATAACTATTATAAAACGGATATAAAAGATGTAACCGCTTTTTGGTTTCTATTTTTCAATGGACCATTATACCCCTATAACTATTATAAAACGGATATAAAAGATGTAACCGCTTTTTGGTTTCCATTTTATAATGGACCATTATACCCCTAGATGTAAAAAAATCTTAAATTTTTTTTTAAATAATTATACACAACTTTCTAATATTTTATTAATGAGTAACTATTAGAGGCACGAAGTGCCTCTACCCCTCTAGTAATATATAAAGGGGATACTTCTTTTAGTAACCACCTTGATCACCACATTTTGTTGACCATTATACCCTTTCATTTAAAAAATTAAAAAAATTATATTTTTCTCAAAATCAATGCCTTAAAATTAATTGACTAATTATAACATTAGATTAACTTATATTTATTATTTAATTTTTATTTTATTTTATCGACCATACTAGTTAATATATAAGGAGATATTTCTTTTAGTAACCACCTTGGTCATCATATTTTGTTGACTATTATACCCTTTCATTTTAAAAAATTAAAAAAATAATATTTTTTTTTAAAATCAAGACCTTAAAATTAATAAACTAATTATAACATTAGATTAACTTATATTTATTACTTAATTTTTATTTTATAGCACGAGACCATACTTATTAGAAATAAAAGAAATCAAAATTATAATGTAAAAAAATAATTATTTAGTAGAAGAAGCACGTGGGAAAGGATCATTAAAAGAATCGTACTTATGAGTTATGATCTCAAATTTGGAGGTGGCATTTTGACTTTGACACCAATCCTATCCGCGTTGAGGCGAGCCGAACCGACCGTCCGAAGTGGCATCAACCAATTCTTATCCGCCACGTGTTCCCGCCAAACGCCTATAAAAATAACTCCCACCAAACCACAATCTATTTTCTCACCCCTTAACGATGCGGTTTTGCGACGTCGGTTCGCAGCCATCGTCCCCTGTCGCCGACGCGCACCTCAACAATGACATCAAGATATTCTACAGAACTTACGGGGGCGGTCCAACCAAAGTGCTCCTCATCATAGGTCCTTCATTCTTCTTTATTTATTATTTATATAAATTTATTTATTCTTTATTGCCGCGGAGATTTTGCTGATTTTAGAATTAACGCTCAGGATTGGCCTCGACCCACGAAGCGTGGGGCCCACAAATCAAGGGCTTGACGGGAACCACCGTCCCCAACGACGACGACGACGACGTTTGGACCGGAGAAGAAGGCAATGACGGCGGCATCCATGTTTGCGCTTTTGACAATCGCGGCGTCGGCCAGAGCTCCGTGCCCGTCGATAAATCCCAATACTCGTGAGTTGTGACGCTGCGTTTTGAGATATCCTGCTTCGTCTTTCGGAAATTGAAACCAGTTTGTTATTGGTGACTTTTAACGCGTGGTGGTTGTTGGGTGCAGAACCAGGATCATGGCGAAGGATGCAGTTGCTCTATTAGATCATCTAGGTTGGAAAAAAGCCCATATTTTTGGGCACTCCATGGGTGAGTGCTGAATTTGTCATTTTATGTCTGATATAGATTTAATTGTTTTTTTTTATTGGGTGGGTTCTAAGGAGATATAACCCCTTTTCATCGGGTCGACCCGACTCTTATAGGAATAAAGTATTACTTTCTGTTGTGACATTTCAAAGCTCTTACTTAAGCAACATAAGTGCTGAGCAATTTGAGCTAACGAATTTTGGCTATTCATTTAGTTCCTATTTGCATAAACTTCTAGATAGAAGAAAACAAAAAGAAAGTAAAACAAGAAGGTAAAATGAAGCTTTCTCTCATAAGTTGAAATTGTTTTTGTGCACGAGTTAAAGTCGGATATATAAAATTTGAAGGGAAAGTTGATTTTAGCTTTTGTAAAATGTTTATGGTCCCGTTGTGATAAAGTTCTTCATAAAATATAGAAGAAAATAAGAAAGTAAAATGAATTGAGCATCTCGCATATGTTAAAATCAACTAATGCACTTAAACTTTTTAGAAGTTAAATGAGATAACGTCTACAAAAGTCTAATTCAGTTGTATAAGTTGATTTTAACTTTTAAGAGAAGCCCAATTCATCTTTTCTTATTTTCTTCTCCTACAAGTGTTTATGAAAAATTTATCCAAACATGGACTAATTCATTTTAGCTTATTTTATTCTCATATAAGTATTTATTGTGAAGTTTACTCAAACAAAATCTTAGAATATGTTTGTTTCTAATTTAATTAACTTTCTATGTAAGAACAGGTGCCATGATAGCTTGTAAGGTTGCAGCAATGGTTCCTGATAGAGTCCTATCCTTGGCGTTGCTCAATGTGACGGGTGGAGGTTTTCAATGTTTTCCTAAGGTATTGTATTGTCCTTATCATCTTTTGGGAAACCTCCAATTATAATCGAGGAAAGGATACTTCTTTTTCTGTTTATTGAGACGACTATGAATATATGATTCTATGAATTTCAGAGAACGTTGAGCTGCTGCATCAGAAAACTGATGCGATTGGTTGGGAAATATCCCCTAATCTCCGCTTGCACCTGTTGTGGATTTTATCTTACTGCTTAGCTCTAGTCATCTTTAACAATTGAAATAAAAGAATTGGAGTTTAATAAATTTCCATGAGGTTGATACTGGTAGAAAGGAAATAAAGTAAAGATACATTAGCAATAAGAAAAGAAAATGGTAATCCTCAGTTGTAAGATGCAGCCAATTTGATACTATCCATCAAAATATTTCTATGTACATTCTTGTAATTGTTCATATGCTTAATCTATACTAATCTATACTAATATATAAAGGAGATACTCTTTTTGGTAACTACCTTGGTCTCCACTTTTTTGGACCATTATACCCTTTTATTTTAAAAAATTAGAAAAAATATTTTATAATCAAATTTAAGAATTTGAAACTAATAAATCATTTTTACAATAATTACTTTTGGTTTTCATTTTTACGTAAATCAATTTATCCTTTATTTATTTTTTAATAACTACCTTTTTATGAGTAACTTCTCATTTTCTTTCTTTTAATTTTTTTTTAATACAATACAGGCACGGAGGGCCTTTTTCCTGCTAGAATATAAGAAAACAGATCTGTATTTGCTGTGAGATAGAAAAATTCTTATCCATGTTTACACTAGTTTCAAGTTTTGGGCACCACGAACTTGAACACAGTACCTGAAATCCCAATAAGGTGGCTTACTTGTCTTATTTTTGCAGTTGGATCGAAAAACATTATCTATTGCTTACCGTTTCTTGAAAGCAAAGACTCCTGAACAAAGAGCTGCTGTAGATTTGGACACCCACTACTCACAAGTAATAACATTTTCTTGGTTTTGTTCTTTATTTCTGTTAACCAAGAACAATTTGTCTTCCTAATCTCTCCCCAACTATGACAAAAGTAAGTGTGGATTTGAAGAATTGAATCACTCAGTATGTACTCAAATCATATCAAAAGAGTATGGGTCTTGTCATGAATATTAACATTTAGCTGAAGGTTGTGTATTTCTTGTCTAGTAACCACTCTGAGCTACAATTAATGATAGCCTGGAAATCTAAGTTCATTCTGTCCTTGGTAAGAGAGATAAGTTTTTTATATGACATGCAGGAATATCTTGAGGAATATGTTGGAACAGACAAGAGGAGAGCTGTCTTGTATCAGGTACGGTATACTAAATAGGCTTATCTTAGTTAAGAGGATGTTTGGATACAAGTTTAAAAGAGTTTTTAATAGTTTTCTGCTGAAAATAAAGAGTTTTCTTTTTTCTTGTAGAGAAGCTCACAAAATTCTTTTTAAGCTTGTATCCAAATAAACTCTCAGTGGATGTTTTAGTGTCTGTTTTTGGATTTTATTACACTTAGGTGCTATAGCTGTGTGTTTGTTCTATGTTTAAACAGCAATATACCAGATGTATTTGTAAGGGTAAGTTTGACTTACGCAGGTGGTTGCGCATTACTGTAATTAAATAATCCAAAACTGCACTCCCAAGACTTAAAATGCATATACTAAAAGTATCAAAAGTTGTCATTTCAAAACCTGTCATTTAATGCTTGTCGTGTTTCACTGAGAATTTCTAAGATTAACAGTCTCGTGATTACTTTTGCAATGTGTAAAGGGTATTTGCTTGTATAGGAAATGGGTAATGAGGGTATTAACCTATTCATCTTACATCCACCTTTCTGATTTTTCTCAACTCGAGGAATTTTGGCGGAGAAATTAATAATTTCAAACCTATTGATATCCATAGTTGATAGAATACTGCATACGGACTCTAATTCTGCTGGTTCAGAAGATGATGTGTTAGTGGGCTTTAAGCATGACGGGCCTATGATTTGTGGAGTCTACGAGGGTAAGAAAAAGAAAGGAAAAAAGGGAGAGAATGAGGCAGCTGCTTAGGTGATAGTTAGTTAGAATATGTCAACATAGAGAATGTGAGAATAAGGGAACGATCATTATGTATTATTTCTAGTGGTTAGGCAAAGAGAGAATATCTCTTCTCTAAGGAGCATTGCTCTGGTTTTCACTGTATGAGAGCTCAGTCTCTTACTGCTATCTGATACCATTCCATTTCTTTTCCACCAATTTCATTTTTGTTCTATCAATAGTAATATCTATTGGTAGATTAAATTGAAGGCTTAAATATGATTTTAGTATCTCAAATCTAGAATAAATTTGTTTTTAATTCCTTAAATTTAAAATTAGTCTTTTTAGTCCTTGTAATTTCAAAAATTAAAAATATTATTTTAGTCACTAACTATAGTATAACTGACAGAATTGAGATAGTTGAATAACATCAATTGAATTTAATATGATGTTTAATGAAATATTTTCACTAACAAGGATAATAATACGTTAATTATGTGACACATTCAGTAATAAGTAGATGTTATTTAACAGATTCACCAACCACATTTGTACAAAAAGACTATAATAATTTTTTATTCAAATAACAGGGACTGAAAAATTTAATTTTAAATTTGAAGGGCCAAAAACAAATTTATCTCATATTTGAGAGACTAAAAATATATTTAAGTTTAAATTAAAATCAAATTAAATAAATATCAGTTTGGATTCTTTGATTATTCAATCTGTAAATATTAACTCGAGTTCATTATATGCCATTAATATCAATAAGCCAGCCAAAACCCAACTAATACTTTTTACCCATTCATGGTTTCAAGATACTTTCATTGTGTACACTAGCCCCATACAGTGTTTTCAATTAAGGAATACATTGACGAGTAGCTCTAACTGGTGAAAACTATGCATCCCTTGTGAATCATTGGCTTTTATTAGTTAACCCTTCGTTTCCTTTACCTTATTTATTTTGAATATCCAAATAAGGAGAAGGATAACACCATTTATTTAGTCCCTTCTCTTTCCCCTCTCAACCCCTATTACCATATACCAATCAGTATTAATCATCATGCTATTCTTCATATGTATTTGAAATCTTTTCCCTTATTTTCCTAATTCACTTCCACTGTCTCTTACAGCAATATGTTAAAGGTATATCAACAACTGGCATGCAATCTAACCATGGTTTCGATGGTCAACTCAATGCATGTTGGATACATAAAATGACTGAAACAGAGATTGGGGTGATCAAATCTGCAGGTTTTCTTGTTTCAGTCATCCATGGCAGGTTTGTATTGTGTTAGGAGACATTTATGTGTTGCTGCTTCGTAGGAATGTCACCATCAAAATATAAATGAAACTTGACCCCAAGTCAAGCACAAAAAGCAAATTATGCATGAAAACACTGTAGAGACTTGCACTATATGCTCTTTGTAGTTTTACCTAGATACTGAGACATTTCCTGCTTGCTCAGGCATGATATAATTGCTCAGCTATATTATGCAAAAAGACTTGCTGAGAAGCTTCATCCGGTGGCTAGAATGGTAGATCTTCATGGAGGCCATTTAGTAAGTCATGAGCGGTCGGACGAGGTATAATTTGCATATAATATATGTAATATATGCCTGATAATTTGAGTTAATAGTATACTAGCAATTTGCATGCTGTACTTTGCCTCTTGAGATGCATTGGAAATGGACTAAAGCATTTCCAAATTCAGGTTAATCAAGCACTGTTTGACTTGATCAAGGCATCAGAAATGAAGATGAGCCCACATGATTGGACTAATTTGCCAAAGACAGAATCTTGTAAGTATCCCACACTGAAGGTTATAGATTTTGTTGCACTTGGAAATTTAGCATGAGCTCACATGATGCTTGCCATGACTGTTTTCTGTAGCTTGGTGGGTTGTCAATGTGTGGTAATAATGTCTAAGCTCCAAGCAGAGACAGACCCACGTTTGTGGGAAAGGGCAGTGTCCCCAGTTAAATTTACTACTACGATATATGTTTTACTAATCTGAACCCCAGAGCCTAAGAAGGTTTGCCCCAATGGTTCACTGGATAAATTCTAATTTTTACAAACCACAGCCAATTCCTCTCTTTTGGTCTTCACTAAACTCCTTCCTTCTCAGTTGCAAAGCCCAGTTTCATTCACGAGTGTAAAACTGATAATTGGTTTCGTACATGGTTAGATGATTTGTTTATCACCCAACAGCCCAAGTCTTCACAGAGCATAGAGCCATGTTTCATTACTGCAAACCCACCCCGTCCCAGATGGATTTACAGGTGAATTCCTAATAGATGAAGTAGTTCTCATACACACCAAAAGAAAAATGATTGTTAAATTGACATTGCTTCCCATGTAAAAACTATAATAGACATCAACTTGAAAATACCAAAAAAGTTACTGGCATATTGACCAAAAGGTTTTCCCCAACTAGGGTGCTACCCACAGTTTATGGGTCTGTCACTGGCTCCCAATGAGCTGAAAGCCTGAAACACATGGTCTGTTATCATATGCTTCCTTATTTTAAATACAATACATCTATTAATTCTAACTGCAGTATGTTCTAATGAATCCAGTCCTACGCTTATGGGACCAAAGACATTAACTAATCCTGGTTGCAATATGATAGATAGCATGGCCGTGATTAAGCAAGTGTATATTAGAAGGGTTAGTCTTTCTGTTATAAGCTGCAAGTTATTCACCTCCTATTAAAGGGTAAAAACTGTATACTCTTAAACCGATAAAAAGGGAACTTTGGATAATTAGAAAATTCTAAAGGTTGGATCCAGAATTCAATAAAATTTTGATTTCCTCCCTGTTTTTGATACCGGTTCTATGACAATATATTCTTACGAATCTAGGCTTATACTGAAGTTGCAGTAATTTATCTGGATGATGTTGGAGAATAAAAGATGTGTGACTCGAGACAGTTATTAGGTGGTGGACACATTTTTTCTAATTAGATCCACTATATACTAATCTTGTGCAGGGTGGAAAGAGAAAAGGTTGTTGATCATAACAAACATTCAAGCTGGAAGCAATGTCTCCTTCAAGTGCTTCATGTTAGAAAAACTACATCTCTGCTTATTATACTTCTTCGGTATCATTGTTTTAGTTTTTGAGCATGGGAGAAAGCTTCTTAGAAGCTTAAAACCAGTTCGAGTTCGAGGTTCCCCTTCGTAGATTGAAAATTAATGACTCCTTTTGTTAATAGGTAGGTCACTAAGATTATTTTTTTTTCTGCAGAAAATAATATTAAATTTAATAAGGAAAATAGAGTTGTTTCCAAGATTTGTTATAATCATTAGCAATTCATAGACCCTGTAATTAGGACAATTTTCCTAGTTACCATAATAAGTCTAGACGATTTTCTTAATTATAATAATTAAGAAAGCTAATGATTAGAACAAATCATGCAAACAAATCAATTTTCTTCATTAGATTTGATTACTTTTATTCTAAAAATTTGTCCTTAACTCCTACTCAATGCAGGTGAGTAATATATATATATATATATATATATTGGTAAACCCTCAAAGTGAGAGACCAGATCACAGCAAGCTGAGCTCATGCATGCGGCAATGTTTACTCTGTTAACTAAGGTGGAAACTGGGGTTTCTCTGAAACAAGCAGAAAGCACAAGAGAGAAACCTTGATTTTGTGCTATTTGAGGCATGACAGTGACACTATATTAACTTCCCTTGATTGACAAGAATCCAGGTGCTCTGTATAGCCAATTAAGCGGGAGAGACGGAGGCGAGGATCGGCAATTCCACTTTTTTTTTGTACACTAATGATACATATTTCGTGATAATCTAACTCTGGAAATTCTTTTCATACACTTTTTTTGTACAGTGAGATTTGGCCATTTGGGATACTGAGCTCCAACCGAAAAGGCAAATATTTATAACACAAACATTTTATCTTGGTAAGAAACCGTTAATAATATTATTAATTTTTATTCATGTTATTTCTTGTAAAACTTTATTAAAAGATAAATAGACTTGGATTTATACAACCAACCCACACAATTTCGCCTAATAACAAAAAGAAATATGGTGGAAGCATACCTGGAAGGCTAGTATTGGGGCAAGTCTAACAAGTTTTAGACTGGGATGTCAAAATGGAATTGCAAGCTATCCTGGCGCGGGAAATTCCATCATTATTTTCACCCTGAGAACTAATTTGCTATGTTTAGATTTTTTTTTTTACAGTGTAGATTATGGTAAGACAACATTCGCTCTAAGACATCATATTTATTTTAAAATTAATAATACTAAACGTGTAACAATGGTTTGAACTTCATTTTTGTGTTTATTTTCTCTATTATTTAATTTATTGTGAAAAGAGGTATTATAAATGATGACATAAACACAAAAGTGTTGTACGAGTATTTTTGGACAGTTGAGATTTTTTTTTCTTTTTTCCTTTCTCATTTCTTGTTAATGTTTTATCAATTTATCATACTTCCTACAATATTCTTTTTATTCATCTACAATATTGCTAATATAACCTCATCCAACCATCATAATGTCACTACGAATGGCCACAACACAAGCCATGACAAATTGATTCTGGGCATAATCGTGATGCCACCATGCACGTCCACGTCTCTTGTTGTTGTCAGATTTGGACGGAGTAGGAGCCGCAATTGTATTGTATATGGTAAATAAAATGAGACAAGTCTACAAGGGGGGCGTATATTTTACGGATTACAAGTTCATTATGGAGAATGTAACTATTTGTTATAAGTTTTGAAAAATCATTCTCTGGTATTATTTATTTCAGAAAAAGTTATTCTATCATATTTTCTACATTTTTATTTTCATATAAAGGGATGAAAAAATGATATTGCATGGAAATCTGAGAAGTTATGGTTTAACACACTTTTACTTTTTTATTTATTTAAATTATTTCCATTTCGGGATTACAAAACCACGAAAAAGCAATTGTCATAAACAAGACTATTTCATGAAATAGTACTGGAATTTGATCAATTTAGAATTTAGATCTTCCACGGTAAAAGGGTATATTTAGAGCATGAAATTCACTCATAATTATTGATTAAAACAATCTAATTAAAAATTGTGATAAAATTAAATATATACATATATATATATATATATATATAATAAAATTTAAAATTAATTATAATATCTACCTTTAATTTTTTAATTAAAGGTCAAAATTGTATTTTATTATTCTTTAAAGTGAAATTTACTCATTAAAATCAAATCAAATTCAATTCATTTATTTAAGAAAATAAAATTTAGTCAAATCAAATTTATTTTATTTATTTAAGAAAACAAAATTTGTATTTGACATTTTTATTCGACCTCATTGAATTATTATAAATGGATTAATAGGTTCTTATTTCTATTATCGTGGAAAGTCCTTTTTTTTTTCTTCTTATATATGATGCATAACATTGTTATTGTTGAAAATATAATTTTAAAATGAAAATCATTTTAAATGAATGGGTAACAAATGAGTTGGAAGTTATTTTTTTTTTTTAAAGTTAAGAAAGATTACAAAGATGGTCGCAATGAGAATTAAAACTAAATTTTCATGTTTCTAACTATTCCAACTCCTCCCCATTCAACCAATGAGTTGGAAGTTTAATTGTTTTCTTTTTTTTTTTTTTTTTGCATATATTTCTGGTAAGCCATAAATAATCAATGGGTTGACTTTTACCCGTCTATTATAATTTAACTCAAAATTTATGCCAGCTATCTAATCGACACTCCTATATAATTGCCGAACAATCAAGTCATAATTTAGCTTAATTAATTGTATGTAAAATGCTTTCTAACTCGTACATATTTGCATCGTAGTAAAATAACATGGTATTTCCATAATATATTTTGCAAGGATTATTAATCCGGAGTGGTGAGAGAAAGCGTACCTGTGCCTGGCTTGGTTTGGTTTCTGGGACTGTCATCGGAAAAAGCAAGCAACTCGCATGCACAAGAAAGGGGAGGGAGACAATAATTACGCAGAGAATCTGAGTAATGCCCAATAATATACCTCCTCTTGCTGGGAAACTAAGGAAACTCAAAGCAAATATTCCACTGGAATATGCTTATATGCTCACTCCCATGAAATTCTAATTAAGCCCAAGTGGGTCCCAACGGTGTTCCACCTAGCCAATGTTAAAATAAGAAAAGTAATAAATTGCGAGTTTATAGTTATTAGGTAGTAATACTACAATATTTAAAGCCCCAATTAACTTCTTTTTTTTATATAAATATATATGTTCTCTTTTACTTGTCAATTTTTTTTAGTAAAATTTGTTTCTTTTATTTATTTATTTTTATTTTTATTTTAAGACAATATAAATTATTGTGTGACCAATCATACTATATCTCATCTAACTGTTAATTAATTTAAACATGACAATTAATGTATGTTTCGATTGTTTAAGGTGATTTTACACAAATTAAGAAACATAATTTTCTTATTTTTCATATTTAATGTTCCTATTATATTCCCATAACTTTTGCTTCATAATAAACGTATATTAGTTGTTATGTGTAAATCAATTAAAAATTAGGTGAAATATGTAACGATCTAATAGATCATTACACTTACTACAATACAATACAACGTAGTGAAAAACATAAATATAATCTAACATAGGATTATCATGCAATTAGTTCTTGAGTATTCATACAACAGTATATATGTAAGGAATAGACACCTAAAAACATAAAATTCCTCAATGGGATTATAACTAAATCTCATACATACACACATATATATGGGCGCAAAACACAAAAGTCCTAAGTTGTCATTCAAGCAATAACTAAAACATGTTATGTCAAAACAGCCACCACCAAAACACCATCATCTCTATCATGAGACCCCAACCTGCTCGCTTTTTGGCCTAATTCTACCCCATAATAAATTATCATCCTTGGCCAACAATAAGAAAAAAGTAAAAGTAAGCTCGAAAACAAGAAAACAACCTAATATAAAAGTAATGAGCTAGCTATAGAAAAAACATTATCAACACAACATAACAAAAGCCCTAGCCTCAACTTAACAACATTGATCAACATATCAACACAATATCACAACTTAACTACATAACAAAATTTCAACCTATGAAATTACTTATCAACACAACATATGAAGAACATAGTAACTAATGTGTTGTCACACATTTCAACTAAAAGATATCTTACAATATAGGTTAACAATTTGAGTGGTTTGACCCTACCAAATCAACAATACAATTTTTTTGGCTTGTTAAATTAACAACAAAGTTGAATATCAATCCACAACACAACATGATTTCTTAAATTTCACCACTTATACTAGGAAAGTCTAGTACCCTTTGTCAATAATAGTATAACTTGAGTGTGGGTCTATGATGACATTGTCATGCATTAACCAAGTCACCAATGGAAATAGTCCACTAACCATACTCACGATACTACAGACCTTTTCAGCAGTCAATTAAGAATTTTATCTCTCGACTTCATATCTTATTCAAGTTGGCCATTTTTAAACTAGTATAACTTAACTTGGCCTCCACATGGTATCGACTAAGGACTTAAAGGATATTTGACACTTCATTTCAAGAGGCAACAATCTCAAGAAGGGATTTTCAATAATTGGGCTCTCAAAGCACCATAATACATGCCCACACAATAAGATATTTCAGCTTTTCAAACACCACCTTTCATCTTCGACTAAAAAACTTTTCTCACAAGCATTTGTCCACATATAAGATTGATCCTTCCTTGTAAGCCAAAATTCGAGGCATTACTATTTTTGAGAAATCCTCTATGAATCTTGTGACACCCTTACTACCCAACACTTATAACGTAATAATGTAATTAAATTAAGAAAATAAATTTCCAACATAGGTAAAAGGGTTCACATAAAAACCTTCAGAAACGTTCTTCAATATCTAAAATATTTTGAAAACGAAACTTGAAAGGTAAAACATAAAAGGTTACAAAATGTTCTCAAATTAATAAATGTAACTGCAAATCCATATACAAAATCCATGTGCTAGAAATTCTCTACCCCGATGTTACAATATCAAAGCATACCCATAATTCAATAGTTGGCATTATAGATGCCACTCATAGCCAGATCTTCCTCACCTAAAACATCCACAAATTATACGGTGAGAAAAGAAAACATTTATATGTAAAGCACATACAAACAAACAACAATGTAATCTCATCATAACTCATTACATAATGAAATATTTACAAGCATTTCTATATATCATAACTCTATCAATCATGCATCATCTTCACATCATAATTCGCAATCACACCCATTCATCTCAAATCTTGCAATTAACATTCTCATTTTCACATTCATAATCAACACAAATCTTACAATTAACACTATGTCAAGGCCACGCCACAACTGACATAAGTGATACGTGTTAATTGTGTCACTCATCCCACACCATGCCAAGGTCACGCCCTCCCTGTAGCATCACTTACCCAGGGGCCGTGCCATCCCTGGTCATCGATGTGAGGAACCACAATAACATCACAATCTACACAAATCTTGCAATTAACCATATGCCAAGGTCACGCTTGTAGCATCTCTTGCTCGAGGTCGTGTCACCCCCGACATAAGCATTAATTGCCTCACACATCCCACCTTATTTCAAGGTCACGCCTGTAGCATCTCTTGTCCAAGGTCGTGTCACCCCCGACATAAGCATGAGAAATCACACTCCTACATTGTGCCAAGGTCACGCCTGTAACATCTCTTGCTCGAGGTCGTGTCACCCCCGACATAAGCATGAGGAATCACCCATACCATACTATGTCAAGGTCACGCCTGTAGCATCTCTTGCCTAAGCTCGTGCCACCCCTAGTCACAAGTGTGAAGAACCACAATCACATTCACATTCACATCTACATCCACATTCACATTCACATTCACATTCCTTAACTCAATTCCACAACACATACACAAAATCCACACAAAAATAGTGGTTCACATACTCTTCAAGCACTTCACCATGAATCCTCTTCTAGATCATCAATTTTTACCATATAATATAACAATAATATTTATAAATTAATACTCAATTGAATCACCAATTTAATACAATATTAAAATCAAATAGCAAGACCCTCAATTTTTCCAAAATCTAATTCACAGAAACTTTTCTACAATTTCGTTCTCTCTCCCAGAGCATCATTTTTACAAATTAATCATATATCCATAATCCTAATTACATACAAAATCACATAAGACCAATAATTCTCCAAACAAAAATAATTATAAAATTACTCATAATCATACGAGCTTTCTCTTCTACCTAATTCCTGTTAGAAAAGAATGGCCAAATCCAAGAGGGGGGGGTGAAATCAGAGTGGGTTGTATCTGTTTGAGTCTGATGACCAAAACAAAACAAAGATTATAAGTCAACAAGCTACATCTGAGACGTGGGCAAATTCCCAAATATGGTTACATCATAAAAGGCTAGGGCATCTTTCATTCAATCTTATGAAATCCTTGTTTTCTCATTTGTTTACTAGGGAGTCTGTTGAGTCTTTTAATTGTGATATTTGTCAATTATCAAAACATCATCGTGCTTCTTATCCTATTAGTAATAGAAAGAGTACTTCTCCATTTGATTTAATTCACTCTGATATTTGGAGACCTGTCGTAGAATCTATTTCTGGAGCCAAATGGTTCTTTACCTTTATTGACGATTGTACCTGTGTCACATGGACATACCTTATGAAAAATAAATCAGACGTTTTTTCAAATCTTTGTTAATTTTTTTCGTCTGGTCCGAAATCAATTTGGAAAAAATATCAAAAGAATCAGGTTTGATAATGGTACTGAATATGTGAATCATAAATTTCTTAATTTTTTGTCTCATAATAGTATTGTTCATGAACTAACATATGTAAACACCCCTCAAAAAAATGGGGTTGCAAAAAGAAAGAATCGTCATCTTCTTGAAGTAACTAGAGCTCTTCTATTTTAAATGTCTGTTCCAAAAAATTATTGGGGAGAAGCTGTGTTAACTGGCACGTATCTCATCAATAGGTTACCCACTCGTATCTTAAATGACATTAGTCCTATAGAATCTTTATTGTCTTTTGTTCCCTCTTTTCCCCTAGTATCGAGTCTACCTAGTTGAGTCTTTGTATGTATTGTTTTTGTTCACTCTCATCATCCTAATCGTAGTAAATTAGATCCCAAAGCTCTTAAATGTGTCTTTATTGGGTATCCTTCTAATAAAAAAGGGTACAAATGTTATCATCCTCAGAGTCGTCGTGTCTATATCACCATGGATGTCACCTTTCATGAAACACAATCCTTTTATGCTAGTCCACCACTTCAGGGGGAGAAAGCACTTGAAGTGGAGGAGCTCTCCTTCTTGTCATTACCATATTTATTTTTGCAGGATGCCCAAGACCTGAGCAATGAAGCTACCATGGTCCACAGTGAGGAACAAGAGGAAGAAGATAAATTTTTTGGCAAAAAATATGAAAGAAGTAAACAACCCACTTCGACTCTAGACCAAAAAAAATTGTCTTATCTGGAGATGAGGATCCCTGAAGATAACAGTGAAGAGGTAAGTATTACTGAGGACTTACCCATTGCATTAAGAAAGGAAAGAAGGTCATGTGCTAAATATCCTATTTCTCGATAGTTTGTACTAACAATCTATCTGATAAGCACCGAAGCTTTATTGTTGCCATTGATGCCACAAAAATTCCTAACTCAATCCAGGAGGCCATGAAAATTAAACATTGGACTCAAGCTATGAAAGAAGAGATGAATGCATTAGAAGGAAGTTCAACCTAGGAGATTGTTGATAAGTCAAGAGACAAGAAGGCAGTAGGGTGTAGATGGATATTCACAGTGAAACATAAGGCAGTTGGGACAATTGAAAGATATAAAGCTAGATTGGTGGCAAAGGGCTACCCCCAAACATATGGAATTGACTATGAGGAGACATTTGCCCTACAGTTTGAGTTATTCTTGTTTTGGCTGCTCACTTTGGTTGGGTCTTGCACCAATTGGATGTGAAGAATACCTTTCTTCATGGAGATTTGGAAGAGGAAGTGTACATGGAGATTC